TCACAGTGAGGGCCAGCAGGCAGGTGCTGGGCAAGATCCAGGGGCCCGAGAAAGGCTGGTGCTGGGGGGCAGGCAGCGAAGGGGCTGAGGTGAGCTCAGTAAGGGCGGAGGGGCCAGGAGGTGCGATTTGTTCTGAGTGCAATGGGACTTATTTCTTTCTCCGAGGTGCCAGAGCTCAGTGCCAGCTTCCTGAGCAGCTGGGAACCAGGATGATTGGTGTGGGGCAAATGGCATCGGAGAGACTCTTCTGGGCTTCCTCGGTGTCAGGTGAGCAGCATGGCGGGGGGGTTCTCTGGTCCTGCCCTGCAAAGCTCCACCCGGACCTAAGCAACAGGCAGTGGCTCAGGTGCACTGGGCTTATGTCCATTCAGAACCTGTGAGTGTGACCTTATTGGGAAATAGGGTCTTTGCAGATGTAATCGAATTAAGATAAGGCCATACTCAGTTAGAGTGGGCCATGGTCCAGTGACTGGTGTGTTTATAAGAAAAGGGAATTTTGGGCACAGGCACACAGAGAGGAATACCATGTAAAGACAGACACAGGAACTGGACTTATGTTGCCACAAGCCAAGGAATGCCAAGGAAAGCCAGCAGACACAGAAGCCAGGAGAGAGGCCTGGAACACGTTCTTCCCTGTGTCTTCCGTGATAGCATGGCCCTGTTGACACCTTGACTTCATGCTTCTGACCTCCAGATGTCTGAGAAAAAAATTATCTTGTTTTAAGCTTCCCAGCTTGTGGTACTTTGTTACGGCAGCCGCAGGAAACAAGTACATGGGGCCTAGGACAGGAACTCTGTGTACTGAACCTGTCCCATATGCCGGGCCACCAACATTCACTGTTTTGCTTAGATGACAACTCAGTGAAATTCTGATCAGGGTCTCCGTCTTACATAAGAAGATCTGGATGGTCAGAGAGGTGCAGTGATGTATCAGAAGCCCACAAAGACACAATAACAAGGCTGGGAGCTGAGCCCAGGTCCGAATTGTCCCCTCCTCTTTCTATGCCACTTTTTAGAGAAGAGCCCAGCCTTTTGGATTGTTCTTGGCCTTTATGAAGTGCAATCAAGTTAGTTGATCGATGACAAGGAATCAGGGCCCTGCAGGGGTGCACTCAAATCCTTACTGGTGAAATGCCATGCCTGACATTGTTGTGAAGTTCTCTAAAAGAAAAGTTGTGGTGACTGAGGACGGATGAAACAGCAGCGGAATGCTGGTAACTGTTGAGGCCGAGCGACGGGCTAGTGCGGGCGCGCTGTCTCATTCCCTCTACTTTTGTGTACGTTTGAAAATCTCCATAGTAAAATCCTAAAAAGTATGGCCATAGAAATCCAAGAATAAACAAGAAAAGATTGCAAATAGAGAAGGAGGGCTCTGGAAACAGAGAGTCCAGGGTTTGGATCTCAGCTTTCTTCCTTATCGTAAGTGTGACTTAGGACAAGTTACGTAACCACACAAGAGCCCTGTTTCCTCTGCCCAGTGGGATCCCACTAAGTCAAACCTTATGGTGGTGGAAGAATCAAATGGTGGAACTGAAGTGCTTAGCCCAGGGCCAGGCATGTGGGAGGCATTCTGGAAATATCTGCATTGTCACTGTTACCATAGGTGCACCTTCTAACAGCCCCAGAATCAGGACTTACTGAGAATGAGGCTTAGAACTGGAGGAACTTGTCCAAGCGCCCAAAGCTAGTAAGTGACAGAGAAATTGTCACTGTTGCCATAGGTGCACCTTCTAACAGCCCCAGAATCAGGACTTGCCGAGAATGAGGCTTAGAACTGGAGGAACTTGTCCAAGCGCCCAAAGCTAGTAAGTGACAGAGACAGGCCTGACCCAGAAATCTCTCCCTGATCCAAGAGTTTCCTTTATCTCCAGAGCTGCTCAGAGAACTGCTTTCTCGTGGTGTTCAGGGCCTTTCCCACAAGGAGGCCAACATGCTTTCCCCTCGGTTCAGGGGGAGGAAGATGAAGCCACCACTGGCTGACCCCAGAGAGTTCTGGTCACTCTGTGTTTGCTCAGCTACAGCTGCAGGTGGCAGGAGTGGATGCTTACTGCTGGCCGATGTGCTTTCAAAGGTGACAGGCCTGTGGTAATTGATGGTCACCAGGGGCCGTTGCTCCATGCACGTTGTTGGTTTAAGGATGACATTGATCTGACACACCCGCCACGGCAGAAACCAGAGCAAAACAAAGGAAGGCCAAACTGGAAACTGGCCTGGCCTCCTCCAGCTCCGGGCTGCCTTGGCTCCAAGGGTTCCCAGAAAGCTGTGCCTCTGATGCCTGCCAGGATCCCAGTGCCCTGGAGCTTTGGGATCAGCCAGGATGGAGAAATGCCCCGAGGCACCCACCAGTCTGGGTGAAGGAGCAGCCCGGCAGAGGCTCACAGAGCAGGGCTGTGTCCCCAGGCTGTCTCCAGCCTCCCCTTCTCAAGTTTACATGCCCAGGGAGAGAGGTGGAGAAAGCAAGGGGCCTCTAGACTGTGTCCATGCAGAAAGGTGGGTGTGGTGGCAGGGGCCCTGAGAATTAGGCAGGGAGGGGGTGGGGTTGGAGAGAGGCAGGGCTGTTGTCAGAGGCCCGGGTGAACTCAGAGCTCTGGCAGGAAACAGAATTCACCCCAGATGGCTCCAGTGAAGGGACGACGTCACTGTGTGGTCAGGGTCAGAGGAACACACAAGAGGTGACGATGCTCTCAGTGACCATCCCTAAGGTAGAAGGGGCCCNTGGGTTTGGGACTAGAGGGGAAGCTTTCAGCAATGGGTCTGGCTCAGAGAAGCGCTCGGGTAGGAAGGAAGGACCATTGGCTTCCTCCTCTGTGAAAGGGAGGGACTGGGACGGATGAATGCTGCGATGTCGAGACCTTCACAATTCTCACCCCCACCCGCACCCCAGCACATATGAGGTGAGTGTTCTCTGTGTGCCTGTTCCACGAGAAGTCCAAAAGCAGGCTGACGACCTCGCCCGCCAGGTCCCAAAGTGCTTTTAAATATATAATCAATCAATCTTTAAAATGCACATTTTATTGCTTTCATTATACAATTATACATACTTACTATTGAAAATACAGGTAAGGCAATAAAAATTACTCACAATACC